ATGAATATTCGGATTGAACCTAATTTTAATATTCTGGTTCAATCAGATAACTCGAAGTCCGCCCAAATTAAATTCGGGTTGAGATTTTTTTACCTAAATTTAACGTAAATATTAAAAATTCTAAGTCAAACCCAAATTTTTTTGAATTAGACTTGAGTTGAAATTGAATTAGCCCCACAAATCGTACCCCCTTACAAGTCATTATTGTCCACTACAAATCTTACCCATCAAGACGGGCTAAACATAATAATTGGGGGGCCCAAAACCACGAGAAGAAAAGTCCACCTCTTTCTAGAATATTTAAAGATTCAACCTCAAGATACACTTCCAAACACGCGTACAAATAATAGGGCCATCTTCGTGCTGAACATGTTGAATTAATGACAGCTCTTTAAGAATAAAACTTGCTATTGAGATGGGATATAATAAAATGATTTTGAAAGAAAATTCGAACAATGTCATCGTCACCATAGATCGAATGAACCAAACTTTTTTGAGACTTTTATTGATCAAATCCATGAGCATACCAGCTTCTTCACAGATTTTTCTAATGGTTGGATTAGAAGGGTTGGTAATACTCTTGTTAATTGTCTAGTGAAATTTGTTTTAAAATGTAACGAGCCTAAGTAGTATCCTTATATACACTTTCTGTATCTATATCTATTTATTTATAAAAAAATAAAGTTGAATCCATATTATACTATTATATACATATTATTGACACATTAAATTTTGCTATCAAATTTGTCACATTTGATTTTTTATTTTATTTTTGGTATGCAACAACATCATAATATTATTGATGAGTCCGAATTTGACTGGTCCAAGTCCAATCTAAGTAAGCCAAAAAAGTCCGAAGAAAAGTTCAATCAGAGTCAAATCAACCCACGAGTCCAAATTAAGTGAATCGCTCGTAAATCAATCAGGAGACAGGTGGAGCCCAGGCCAAGAGGTGGACGTCCAGGAGGCCAGCGTCCAAAAGGCCAACATCCAAGAGGCCAACGCCCAGGGGTTCAACCAAATCAGGCGTTGCCCAAGGCTCCCCCTTTGTCCTCTTACGTCCTCTTGACTTCGATGTAAGCCCAAGTTGACTCCAATTCAAGTTCAAGGTCAACACCAAGTCCAAGACCAAGCTCAAGATCAGGATCATTCTCCGACGGAAATAGGGACACAAGTGAGAGAATATCGGGAAACACACAGAGATCTAGTTCTACCACAACTATACTTACCAAAATAGTGGAAGTCATCTTCCTCACATCACTACCTCACCACCTTACTAAGCCTATATAATGTAAGCTCTCTCCACAAAGAGAAGGATCTTGGCATTGATGACCTTGAAACCTCTACACACCTTGCTCCCATCTCCTAAATCATTGTAACTCCCTTGGAGAATACTCTCTTGGAAACTTTGATTCATCAATAAAACACCTCCGGCCACCACAGTTGTTCCCGAGCGTGGAGTAGGTCATCCGGACCGAACCACTATAAATTTTTGTGTTGACTCTTATTTACTGTTTTGCCATTGATTGTTTATTTATTGCTCATTAATTACATCCCGTTCATATACTTGATTGTTGATCTCGCGCAATACCGATTTGTGCATCATCAATTATAATACAAACAATAGTTTACAATTTAATCAATATCTTTGGCAAAAAAATATAATAATATATTTATATGTGTAAATACTTAAGAATGACAATTTTACAATAAAATTTCACTATAAAAAAAATATTTAAAAAAATCGGGGAAATACTTAAAAAAATGACAAATTAAGTACTTAAAGAGGGGTAGAATAGATCAATAATTAAATTTAACAATAATTGATACAAAATTTAATTATTTGACACATAATTTATTATTCAAATAAATTACAAATATAAGCTAAATTGTTATAAAAAAAAATTATTTAAATATATTTACATGTAACGCACGTCGTAGCTAGTAGATACAAAATGACCAAAACTATAATACATCGTGTAAACTAACAAAGGGACACTCCTTTCTCTTAATCTTTCTTTCTTAGGTGGTGGTCCATTTTGGTCAAATTAAAGTAATCTCATTAGATAAATATATTTATATTATGATTTTTCTCACTCCAATTCATTTTGAGATTATAAGTTATGACTCTAATTTTTATGTTGTTGCAGCTATATTTATACAATAAAAAATTAACCATAAAATTTTTTAATAAATCACAAATTGACTCCAATTTGTTTAATACTTATCTAGGAAAGTCTGTAATATGTTAGAATCATGACCACAAAATATTATCATTTTGTTATGATTCTATCCTAATTGGTATGATAAAATATAGTAAAATGGGTTTACTCAAAAAATATTATTTGGCAAGATTAGTGTGGATTAAGTGGGGGATTAGGTTAAAATTGTTTTGGGGCCCACATATCTCAACTTTGCATGTAAAAAATCTAATGGGATAATCGTTGGGCTTATTCTCCTCGGCCCATATTAAATGATCTTAAATATCCACTCTGAACTGGATATCTTAAACCTACGGGTGGTGTGGGATACTTTGTTTGCCAACAGTATTGAAGAGCAATTTATCATGCTACCCCTCAACAGTTTTCTTCACCAAGCACTTCAGCAACGAGCTGTCATTGTGACCAAGTATGTTCTCTCTCTCTTTCTCGCCCTTTTTCTCGTCGCTTTAAACTTTTCAGTAGATTAATTTTTTTTTACCATTTTTTTTGTTCTGTCTCTCTTTTCCTTGTTTTTCTCCCTCTCTCCATCTCTCTTCCTTTGTCGAGGGGAGCTACACCCACCATCTTCGATTTTTTTTGGCCCCCTCTCTCTCTCTCTCTCCTTCCTTCTCTATTTCCTCGTCGCTGTGAACTTTCCAATAGATTAATTTTTCCCCTTTTTCTGTTCTCTCTCTCTCTCTCTCTTTCTCTCCTTGTTTCTCTTCATCTCTCTTTCTCCGTCAATGAGAGCTACACCACCATCTTCGATTTTTATTTTTTTTGGTTCTCTCTCTCTCTGTCGATGGGACCTACACCCACCATCTTCAGTGTTATTTTTTTGGCTCTCTCTCTTCTTCCCTCTCCCTTTCCTCATTGCTGTGAAATTCTTTTTTTTTTTGTTTTGTCTATCTCTCTTTTTTTTTTTTTTTTTTTTTTTTTTTTTTTTTTTTTTTTTAAATTTTT